GAACAAAATTGTTGTTTTCTACTTCTTGTCATCCACAAACGGATGGGCAAACTGAGGTAGTAAATAGAACCTTAGAAAATATGTAAAGGGCTATTCTAAAAGGAAAATTAACTTCTTGGGAGGATCACTTGCCTATGGTAGAATTTGCTTACAATCGAACTGTTCATTCATCTACTGGTTATTTTCCTTTTGAAGTTGTTTATGGCTTTAACCCCCTTACACCCCTCGACTTATAGCCTTTGCCTACTACTGAGATGGTTAGTTATGATGGAAAAAAGAAAGCTGATTTAATGAAGAATATTCATGAGCATACGAGACTTGCAATTGAGAGAAGGAATGAGCAAACAACTTTACGAAGAAATAAAGGTAGAAAATCAGTTATCTTCGAGCCTGGTGATTTGGTTTGGGTTTATATGAGGAAGGAGAGATTTCCTTCAAAAAGGAAGATAAAATTGCACCCTAGAGGAGATGGTCCATTTAAAGTACTTGAAAGGATTGGAGATAATGCTTACAAATTGGACCTTCTTAGTGAGTTTCAAGTAAGTGCTACTTTCAATGTTGTTGACTTATCCTTGTTTGATGTAGGTTCAAATTCGAAGATGAATTCTTTTCAAGAGGAGGGGAATGATAGCTCTACGGACAAGGATAAAGCTTTAGAAGTACCAAGAAAGACATTCACAAGGTCTCAAGTTAAGGAGAAGCAAGAAAAGGTTGTTGGGCTTCAATGGGAGATCAAGAAGGCGCTAATGGTAGAAGAAGAGCTCAAGAATTATGGAGAGGATTTAGTTAAGTGCTACACTCATTTCATGGTCCAAGTCCAAGTCCAAGAGGAGGTATTTATGTCCAAGCACCAGCCAAGGAGGGCCTAAATTAGGCACCTAAATCAACCCACAAAGGAGGTAACTTGGCGCCAAGTCAGCTCAAGGAGGGGCGGCCAAGACATAGGAGAAAGACTCAAAGTTCCTTATTTTGTTTCCTAGTTTGTTAGGATATATTTGATACTTTCGTAGGTAGTTAAGGTTTTGTTTTTCTTTTCCTAAGGTTATTAGAATTAATTTCCAAGATTGACTTAGTTTTTATTTCCTAAAGTTTTACCTTTTCCTATGGTAGTTGGACTTGTTGTCCAGAGTGGTTTAGGACTTTATTTCCTTATTTTTTAGGTAGAATTTCGTGACCCCCTCTCTATATAAAGGGGTATCTTCTTTGCTTTTAGACTTAGACTATTATCAATAAATATTTTGAGATTTTTCTTGCACTCTTATGTGTGGCTACTCTTGGATTTATTCTTCAACCTTCAAGACTCAACTTAAGGTGGTAAGATGAATTCTTCAAAATCTTGGATCACTTTTAGGTATTCAAGAAAGGTGATAAGTTTAGGCTTATTATTATTCTTGTTATTCTAAAGGGTCGGGTTTAACAATCTATCTCTTGTTTTTAATTCTCTATCAAAGGCGATTAGTTCTTCGTTAGCTAATTGTTGTTGTTACGATTCAACTTCAAGAATAGACTTCTTGAATTCAAAAAACTCTTTCTTGAATTCAATCTATCTTTAATTTTTGCCTTCTTTTTTATTTTATTTTATGTTCTTTTAGCTTCTGTACGTTTCTTAATTTTTCTTAGTCGTTTTGGACCCCTATAGTGTTGTTATCACATGCCCAGGGTTGATCCCGTATCAACCTGCTCCATATAAGCCTACCAACACAACATCACTGGAGATCCTTACTTCCCACTTAGTCTGTAAACCTTAGAACCCAATTTCCAACACCCTGAATTCATTAAAATACCTGAATCTCGTATCTACACACTGTATAAGTCTGATCATGTTGTTTCAAGCCATAACCATGGCCCAAGATGTAATCACGTGATATACCACATCACTCGGATACTCACAACAATAGTTGCTGACCACCATAGCTGCCCTAAAGCAAATCTGGTACCGGTAATAAACCTCATATCAAATAAAACCTCATTTACAACCTTTGTACACTGCCGATGATAAAAGAAACAAGTAGAATCTCTTAACCTAATCAATAAGCCAAGAAGCTCACTCGTCCGACCAGGGCCATTGCCCAAATTCTTAGCGGAAATATGGTATCTTTCTTCCAAACATTCCTTATCCCAATACGATAGTGCAAATCTCAGGTCTAGAAATCTCATATCCACCAATACAAGCAGCCCAACAGACAAGTAACACCAGAAGCCATAAAGAGTCCCACACAATGCGGTCCGTACACCAAATAAGTAATAATTCAGATAGAATAGATAATAGTAAAAAAGTTAAATAAGAAGGCTACTAAGCAAGTTAAGCAGGCAAGGTAATTTTAACATTTTCCTATGAATTATTTTCAACAAAGTGAAAGAAAAAACATGAAATAAGCATAAGGAATTATATCTCATCACATTACCGCTGCGGTGCGCAACCCAATCCAATCATATCAATCCACTTAGGGGTACCCATCGAGCTATAATGCTCGGGCACACTGATCACATGTGCGTCACATCAAGCACGATAGAGTGCACAAAATATAATTATGGGAAGAAGATTAGGCATAAACAATACTGAGAAAGACAAACACAACTATGGTGCAATAACCAAGTCAACATCACGAGGTCCACCTCGCCCAAAATACCATAAGGCCTAAACGGATTTACAATATGTGTACGAAAAATCATGTAACCTTCACCAACCGTCATAGCAAACGAGAGAAACACATAACATAGACCAAGGCGTGAATAACATCCATTCCGTCCGATGATATACATGTGGTAATAACGGCGCAAGAGCAAGAAAATTCGATCCGATATAGAATACACATTCTCATTAGGCTCACAAATAATCCCCAAACCAAATTTCGATCATCCCCAAAAAGGAAAATAACCTTCCAAAAGTCCATAGAAATATTTCCATAACACCTACCATCAATCATCCAATCCTCAACATTTCTTCACAATTCGCAATAAAGAAATAGTCTCCCAATGAGAACATCAGTCTCTGAACCTCAGGAATACCAGAATCTTCATACCCGATCTCAACACCGCTACTCAAATGGATGATGTGTTCCATCATTTTACAAAAAATACCCACAAGTCAAAACAATGCACCTGCCAACATGCGCACTCTCCACCGGCGATATCAAATAGTGCCCACATCCTCTTAAACATATGGAATCGTCTGTTTCATCAAGAACTTATATCCTTCCCTCCACAACTAAACCGCAACCTTGTACTTGTAACTTTCAACCCTACACGGTGCACCGCCTCTAACATGATAACTCGTGACACTATGAAAATCTCATAATCAACTCTGAACCATAAGCAAATTGAATACCTCATCAAACACAAACCTTTCATTTAACTCAATCCAAGAGAGCATCACCACACGCAATATAGCTTCTATACCTGTAGCAAACATAACCTCCGGCCTTGGCCATAACCATGGTGAATTCATCGAAACTCATTAACACATAATCGTGTCATCAGAATTGATCGCCTCTAACTCACCTGAGTCACACAGACTTCCAACCCGAAAGTAACTCAATCTGATATGCTTGCTCTGGAGGAACCTTCTGCGAATTTGAAGTCGTTTCTTTAATCTCTCCAATATTTCCATATAGAATCATTCTTGACATAGTAATACCGCAGATCCGATTACCATTCCCTACTGATCTCAAGCCCTACCCATACACAAATTCAGAGGTCCTTAAATACTACATATGATCTAGAACTCATCAGAACCTTCTTGATAATCACTCACCTTACTCTGATCTTCAATACACAGCTAATACGCACCGATCAACTCACGTTTCACCAATACATGACTATTCAAAGAAATAACCAAGCAATCCCTCGGCCCAGAAACTAACACAACGTATGATCCAACGTATGATCCTACAATCCAATCGTTATTAATAGACTCCCCCACTTAGCCCGAAGCCATACAACACATCATCGGTAATCCATAGTAGCATATATTCATAGCTGCCCCGATCACGTACTACGAATTAGTTGAATACTTCATAAGCTTAGGTAATACTGGTCGCAGAACACTACGAATACTCTACCAAGCGCATGCCCAATCCTTGCAATAGTCAATCAAACTTCCCCCAAATGCTCTGAAATAATAATATGTATTCCACCGAATGGAAACTTCATACGAAACACAAGATCCAAACTCATCACATAAGAGATAACCCCCATCCATACTCAAATCAATACCTTACCATGAACCCACCGTAATCACAATAACTAGGTCACCAGCCCGTCTTCCCAAGTCCGTGATTACCAACCAAATACAAGAATCTGTCCCGTACCACAAATGAATGACTGAAAGATCTATCATGCATCCACTCCCAAGACCAGACAACACATCGTGATGATAATCAAGCATCCATATCCACTACAAGAAATCAGACCTTTTGTTGCTACAAAAGCACACAATGTCGCCAGTAAAAGTTTTTAGTAGTGACATTAATGGTGCTGCAAGTAACTACATTATTGAATATTTTTTATTACGACTCCTTGGGGTCGCCACAAAAAGAACCATTTGTGGCGACTATACTCGCCAATAAAAGAAGACATGTACATCGCAAAAAAGGTTCCACAATATAGATTTAAAGTGAGTCGGCACTAAAGAATGACTTGCAGTAGCGACTATAGTCGCCAATAAAACCCTTATATCTTCAGTGGCAACTCTTGTCGCCACAATATCTTAAGGTTTAGTGGCAACCTTGGTCGCTACAGTTACTAATCATTTTTTGACAACGTTTGGTCGCCATTAATACCTGTTTTTTCAACAACTATATTTTCCAAAATCCTATCGTTTTCAGTGGCACCCTAATTTATAAGATTAATATACATGTATTTTTCTACCATTTGACAACAAATACAAAAAATATTTCTCAAACTGAATATTATAGATACTTTCATTACCAAAATGTCAATTAATATGTACTACACAATAATTCATCATTCATTATCAATGTATAATTTAAAAGATTTACCTGATAGCCAAGATTACCAAGTCCTAATATTCTCTCTCCATCAGTAACAGTAACAACTTAGATACAAAGTTCCTGTACATGGAATAATCGATGAGAAGCTTATAAGATGAAAGTAGTTCTTCAATATTATTGATGAGAAGCTTATAAAATAACCTTTTTTTCTTTCTTGAAATAACTTAGAATAGTCCAGTAGTATTTTAATGGGATTATATTCCCTTAGACTTACTGTCAAATGATTTTAAATGTACAATGACAAAAATGGGAGCTTAAAGCATTTGTTCCAGAGGGCACAAAAGGAGAAACAAATGATAAAATAAAAAGGAGAACGAGAAAACTAAACATATGTTGGACCATATAGCCATGCTACATGGTAATTCTATTAACCTATTGGACCATATAACCAGGCTATCTCTAACCTCCTACCAACTCCATTTAAGTTCATATAATGAACCTGATGTGAAATTTCCACTGCCATAGTGAGAGGTAAGACTACTAAAGAATCATCATAGCCATGTATCCTCGCGAGAAAACTTAATATTGGAAAAGATTGTGCATTAATTTCTTCTCCTGATATTTGATGAAAAATGTTACCAATCTAACTATGAGTGGAGATGGAAGAACGAACTCAAGGTTATAAGTCAATAAATTATCAAATGACCTGAAGTTCTTGGCTTGAAACAACATGAGGTAGAAGGCCGTGTGATAACATCTCTCTCCACCACAGTGAAGGCAAGTCCTTTGTCATAGTGTGAATCCCATAACAAGCGATATACATACAACTCTATAAAGATGACTGCCGAGAAGGACTAATTATCGTATAGTTGACAACTTTACATAAACCATATTAATTATTTTCACAACCAAACACCCATTAATTAATAAATCTAGTCGAAGAAATCGGTAATAACTAAATAGTTTCTCCAGGAGCAGGAAACTAACTGAATAGAACTTAATCTAAAGAAAAAGAAGATAGTAACATGCACTATGTCCAACTACACATTAGATCCCACTATTTTAGTTTACAGATAACTAAGAATTGCACGATTAAACATGAAGCACTATAATATTCTTTGGGGGTATAGCAGGAAATGTTAACACAATCCATAGCAATGTTAAGAAAAAGCTAGACAATCGAAGAATTAGCCAACAAATAGTTTGGATTACCTAGCAACAGTAAAGGTCTATGGGGAGATAGGCTAATCTTTAGTATCTCTATCTTCTAAACACATAAACCTCAACACCTCCAACACCACATTTGTCCTTCATGTCAAGAACAAAATTACTTATTTGATATATGCTCTCAAATCAATTCCTCCTTTTTCCGCCAATACAAGTACCCCCAATGCCTTTCTCTACTAAAAAAATAAACTGTACCAACAAAATAATAATAACCCACAAATAAAAAATAAATAAATACCCAAAAACTATGAAAGTTCGTGCATCTGCTACTAAGAAAAGAACAACCCAACTTTTATAATTAACACAAAATTACTACTCGATTTTTCTAGAGAAAGAGATTGTGAGAGACTAAATGCTGTCAAGACCACGAATATAAAAAATAGCTTACTAAATTTTTCGGAGGCCGAGAGAAATTCAACGTCACTGAAAACCCGGAACCCCCACTGACTCCTCACCACAGACTATTACTGTATGAATTTCTTTTTGTTCCTATAGATTTTCAACTGAGTCACAAAAATTATAGATAAAATTTGTGAAATCATTGAAACTATCATTCTCGCTAACTGTATATACCACAGAAAAGGGATTTGAGTTTGAAATTAGAGCACGTACATGATGAAGTCACGATTTCTGATTAGGGCTTTTGTGTTTCTATCAGATGGGTCACAATTTGTGATTTGAGCAGTTAGAATCAAGAGATTTGAACAGAGAGGAAATTGAGTGGGATAATTTTCTCTAGAGAGACGAGCACGAAGAAGAATACCTACATCTTCTTTTTTCATTTAATAAGAGTGGTTTTTCTTATAAACTTTTATTAGTGTTAGAGGAGACTGAGTCGCCACAAATAGGCCTTTAGAGGCAACTGTATAAAAGTCGCTACAAAACTCTCAAGACAAAATTTAGGTCTTAGCAGGAAAGAAAAATTCAGTGTTCAGCTGAACGTATTAGGAGTAACCTTTGAAAACTCGCCACTAAAAGTTTACCTTCTGTTGCGATAATTATAGTCGCCACAAAAAGTCTAGATTTTGTTGCAATAAATCAAGTCGCCACTAAATATTACCACAAGAAGTCTCATTTCTTGTAGTGAGCCTTTCGTAATACATCCGTAGCATCACAAATCGTCGACGCATAGCGAATACCGAGTGCACAACATCGCATATGAACGAATAGGAAGAATCAAAATCGTAGGTTACAAGCTGAAACAAGGCCGCAAAATAAGGAAAGACGGAAGGAAATTTTCCTAAATTCCCTGTAACCTCTCGAAGATAGGTATGGATGTCATCATACGGATCCGCAAGACTCTACTAGAATCTTGTTTATGACTCGTAGAGCCTACGAACCTAGTGCTCTGATACCAACATGTCACTACCCAAAATCCACTAGTCGTTATGGCACCTAACTCAACCCGTTAGGTCAGCCAATTAACAGTTAACACAATTCTAATAAAATAAAGTTGACCAACAAATGATATATCTGGATTCCATAAAGACTGGTAGTGCAAGTCATGAGTTACTAAGATTAGATTATTGAAAAAACCCTGATATGAAATAAATACAACTTCTGTTTGAAATGTACATAAATAGAATTCAACTCTAAAAATACCCCCGAAAGGCACGAACATCTTTAGAGTCATCTCCCATCATCCACCGCAACTCCGCTCCAAGATCTAAACGCAAGGTGCAGAAGTATAGTATGAGTACAACCGACCCTATGTACTCAATAAATATCTTGATTAATCTCGATGAAGTAGTGACGAGGATTTTTAGTTAAAAGATACTCACTGATATAACCTGTGCAGTAGACTAGCAATAGAACATAACAGAAAAGAGTACAAGAAACAAATATGCGAAGCAGTAAATGATTACTAGAAGAAACCATGATTAATGTTCCTCAATATCACAACCAATACTTTTCTTAGAGCGATAAACAACAAACCATGGTAGTAAATTCAAAAGTTTCATAGTATGAGAAATGTACTCAATATATCAAATTAAATGGAACGACAACACCCTTCGTGTATTTATCTCATCCTCACCAAATATACGTATAACAGTACCAACCAGGTGAAAGAAATGCCAATAACAGTAATGACAAAGTGAAAAATACACAGGTAGCAATAACGAACAAGGCAGTACATATGGACAATGCTAACAGACTAGTAGCCTGTTTGGTCAAGCTACAAAAATTAGTTTATTTTGAAAAGTGCTTTTTCTCAAAAGTACTTTTTTCGAAAGTACTTTTGATAAGAAGCAGTTTGTGTTTCGCTAATTAATTTTAAAAGTACTTCGGAGAAGCAATTAGTGTTTGGCCAAGTTTTGAAAAAACTGCTTCTAAGTATATTTTTCTCAAAAGTGCTTTTCAAAAAAATGGTTTTGAAGAGAAGTTACGTTTTTCTCCTTCTCCTAAATTGCTTCTGCTTCTCCTCAAATGCACTTTTTTATCTTCCAAAAGCTTGGCCAAAGTTATTTTCGTATTGTGCAAAAATTTGTAAAATTTACTCACTGTGATCTGAAGTAGTAATACCTATTCAATTCATCTTCAAAAATCAAATATTAAGTTCTTCTATCTTTCAAATGCAACTTTAGAAAATTCAAATTTTAAGTTGTTTTATCTCTTCAATGCAACTTTAGAAATCAAATCTTAAGTTCTTCTATCTTTCAAATGCAACTTCAGAAAATTCAAATCTTAAGTACTTCTATCTTTTCGATGCAACTTCCAAAAATAAAGTTTGAGTTCTTCTATTTTTAAAATTCAACTTTAGAAATTCGAATCTTAAATAGTTGTATTCCTTCAATGCAACTTCAAAAATCAAATCTTAAGTTCTTCTATATTTCAAATGTAACTTCAGAAATTCAAATCTTAAGTAGTTATATCTCTTCAATAAAACTTTAGAAATTTAATCTTATGTTCTGAAACATTAACTTGCTCTTCAAATTTCAACAACCCAACACACGATTCAATGCCCAATCTACTTCAAATGAGCTTAAATTTAAAATATAAATTTCAAATATCATAAAAAATAAATCTCAATCATTAATTTATCAAAATAACAACAAATCTGACAAATTTATTTTGCGATAATAGTGATTTACTAATGTTTTCAAGATTTATATTTTGTATTAATCAGATTTGTATTAATTTCAAGATGCTTATGTTTTCAGTTCCTTAAATCAGAGCCTTCTATTTTTGGTTAGCTTCTTCAGTAGATCTTTTCCATGATTCACGATAGCTTCTTGTTTTTTCGTCCTTATATCGGGGTAGCTCGAATCCTATTAAGAGTTCAAACTCTTCCTTACAGGGGTGATCTTTCATCCCGCACAATGCGACATCACTCCTCGAACATACATTTAAACTAACAGTGGGTTGGCTAACTTACTTTAGAAGAATGAAGAAGAAAAAGCTGAGAAGTAGTATGAAATTATTGATTAATGGGTATTAATTAAACTTTCTGAACAAAGTGTGTATTTGTTAAAGGAAAAATATATAAGATGCACCATGTACTTATCTGGAAAAATCAATTTCCCACTTAATCTTTACGGGTGTCCTATTACCACCCTATTCTTGTCTAAAGTGAATTTAATTCCACCTAGAAGCTGATGCGACAAAAATAAAAAATAAATAAAAGTGGAGGCGAAGATGCAGAAGTATAATATGAGTACAACCGACCCGATGTACTCAATATGTATCTTGACTAACGTCGGTGATGTAGTGACGAGGATTTTTAGTTAAAAGATACTCACTGATATAACCTGTACAGTAAACTAGCAATAAAACAATACTAGAACATAATAGAAAAAAGTACAAGGAATAATTATGCGAAACAATAAATGATTATTAGAAGAAACCACGATTAATGTTTTTCAATATCACGACCAATCCTTTCCTTAGAGCGATAACAAACAAACCAGGGTAGTAAATCCATAACTTAAATTGTGTGAGAAATCTAATCAAGATATCAAATCAAATAGCACGGAAACACCCTTCGTTCATTTATCTCATCCTCACCAAATATACGTATAACAGTACCAACCAGGTGAAAGAAATATCAATAATAGTAATGATAAAGTGGAAAATACATAGGTAGCATGTGATGACCCAAAAGGTCATATTATATTTTAAAACTCGATTCTGCGCTCTTAAGCCTTAAAAATTTTATTTTTACCCTCCTAAATTTGCGTGCGCAGTCCGGGCGTATTTCCGGAAAGCTTTTATGTTGAAAATTGATGAAAATAAATTTTTTTACCTTAAAAGTTAATTTTAGTTGACTTCGGTCAATATTTTTGGTAAACGGGCTCGGATCCATATTTTGATAATCCCGGTGGGTCCGTATCGAATTATGGGACCTGGAAATATACCCGAAATCGAATTCGGAGGTCCCTAGCTCGAGTTATGAATTGTTTATGAAAATTAAAAGTCTGAAAATTTAATTATTTTTAAGAATTGGTTGATGTAAAGCCTTGTTGATACCGAATCCGTATTTTAGTTACGGAGTCCGGTATAGGTCCAATATAATATTTATAACTTATCTGTAAAATTTGGTGAGAAGCGGAGTTGGTTTGACGTGATTCGGACGTCCAGTTGAGAAAATAGAAATTTTAAAGTGTTCTTGAGAATTTTATTTGATTTGGTGCTAAATTTGTAGTTCTAGGTGTTATTTTGGAGATTGGATTACATGAGCAAGTTCGTATGATATTTTTAGACTTGTGTACATGTTTGATTTGTAGCCCCGAGGGCTCGGGTGAGTTTCGTATAGGCCATGAGATGTTTTGGACTTGGGAAAATCTGGTTTTCTACAGATTTTGGTGTTCTGGCATGTCCTTCTTCGCGTTCGCGAAGGTACTCTCGCGAACACGAAGAGTAAACTGGTGAGCCTGAAATTTCTTCTTTGCGAATGCCTGGTCGCGAACGCGAAGTGATGGGGGGATTTACCATTCACGAACGCAACCGGCTCATCACGAACGCCAAGCACTTGGGGACCTGGGGGAGGGTTGGTCGCTCCTTCATCGCGAACGCGAGCCATGTCTCGTGAACGCGAAGGCCAGGGGGAGTAACCATTGCGAACGCGAAGGCTTGGCAGCCGATACTCTTCGCGAACGCGACAGTGGCCTCGCGAACGCGATGCACACTGTCGCCCAGTGCATAAAACAGAATCAAGAACGGGAATAAGCCATTTTTCCAACTTTCATAAAAACGCAAATGGGCTAGAGGCGATTTTCAAGAGTTAATTTCTTCCCCAAAGTATTGGTAAGTGATTCTAAACTATTTTTTTCAATTACCCATTACTTTCATGAATTTGCAACCTAAAATCTAGAGTTTTCATGGTAGAATTAGGGGTTTGGGTAGAAACTAGGGATTTCGGAAATTTGGGGATTTAGGCCTCGATTTGATGCCGGATTCCAAAACCAATTATATATTCGGGCTCGGGGGTGAATGGGTAAATGAATTTTGGTCCGAACCTCGAGTTTTGACCAAGCGGGCCCGAGGTCGATTTTTGACTTTTTTTTTGGAAGCAAAATTTGGGAAATTTAATTATGCAATATAATTGATTCCTTTAGCAATATTTGATATTATTGAGTCATTTCTGAATAGATACGAGTGGTTTGGAGGTGAATTCTAGAGGAAAAGTTGTGATTGAGAATTTAGTAGCATATGGAGCAAGGTAAGTATTGTGTCTAACCCTGACTTGAAGGAATTAGGAACCTCAGATTATTTGCTATGTGAAACTTATGTGAGCGGCGTATATGTGAGGTGACGAATACTTATGCGTTGCTAATTTACCTATTTTCCCTGTTTTCTCCCATTTTTCTTATATTGTCTCTTTCCTATGCCTA